TCTGTTTATTTCTTTAAGAGTATTTTATAGGTTTTTATTAGTCAAATAGTACTATCAAAAGTTTGTATTACCTCTGTACTTAGGATTTTTAAAAGGTTTCTAACTCTTCAGTTTCTTTACTTTCTGCACCCATTGATCTTATTATAGGTTTGCATTGAAGACTTATATAATATTAGTTATTAATATTTCTTTATATATATATAATGTTATATTTTATATAAATGTCTTGAATATTATTAATACATTAATTTAACTAATTGACAGAAACAGTTACTATAATATAAATATAATTTTAAAATTTATCATTTATAAGATTTGAACTCTAGACTTGCCAATTAAAGGTTATAATCTGTTTACTTTATTAGATTGTTACACTTTATCTATATTTTTTTTATTAACAAACTTTTATATATTCTTTTATAAAACTTAATTCTTAATCTAAATTTTTAAAAAAATAAAAAAATTTATTTCAAACAAATTAAATATTTTTATTTTTAGTTATAATAATAATTATTAAATATAGTTTTTTAAAAATATTAAATTTATTTAATATTTAATTGTATTATTTACATAAAAAAATTTATATTTAACTTTTTTTATTGTAAATATAAGTAGAAAAAAACTATAAATAATATGAATAAATTTATATTAATACAGCTAAAATTGAAAAATTATATGATTGCACTTTTGATAATTAGTAATGCTAGTATTTTTTAAACTAGATTCAAGTAAATTTAAAAAATTGTTTTTATGAGAACTTATTTTATATAACAATGTTATGCCTTATTATGATAGACTGATTTATATATTTATTAATTTTTTTTAGTAATCTACTGTATTTATATACTTTCAATATAACTTATATAAAAATTGTTATCATCTTTGTCTAATGACTATTAGATTGATATCACTATATGTATTAATATATATAAATAAATACTAAACTTAAATCAACTTATAACTTAAAAAATATAGTCTTATTCAAATTAACTTAAGTCAAAACTGTTTTTTCAGACTACAAGTTAACTCAAGTCTAGTTTTTATAATCAAACACTTTGACAAAAATAATTAAAATTACTAGAAATTTTATTAAGATAAATATTTTAATTTTTTAAATAAATTATTTAAAAATAAAGTAACAGTTATTATAATATACATCTATAATGTTTTGTATCTATTATATTTTTATATTTTTTTAATTTTTAAGTTTTTATAAATTTTGTTATAAAAATTTTTAATTTAAATTTTTTTATATTAAGATTAGTATTAGAATTTGAGTAAAGAATAGAATATTTTTACTTAGAACATTTTATATTTATAATTGGTTTTTTTTCAGTATTAAGATGACCTCTTTTGGATCTAAATTTTTATTAATACTTATATTAGCCATATGTATATATAAATGTATCTATATTGAACTATTAGACAAGTATATAACTAGCTATATATATAACTTTTTTATATTATCTATTTAAGAAGTTTATTCAAAAGTTTTCTACTAGTTATTATATTTAATACTTTTGCTTAGGTGTTTCATTTAAATTTTTTGATCTAATCTTGATATTAACTTTACCAGATTACAGACCCAGATCCTTTTGTCATTAACCTTTAGGACTATAATCTTTAGACTATTTTTATTTTTAAGATAAATTTACCAAAATAAGCTGTATTCACTTTTACTACTAACCTGATTTGATGCTATAGCTAAGACTAATACTTGTAATTAGAATTATCTATTAAACTACTATTATTTTTGTAAAGTTCATCCAAATCATAATATCTATCTTTCTGATATCTTCTCTATCATCTCTTATTAGCTACAACTTAGAACTAACAGACTTTTCAAACTTCTAATTCAGATAGTCTAGTATAATATACTTATGTATTTTTTTTTCTGATAATTCTGATAACCTGATTAGTGCATATATTTTTCTTACATACCTGTCATCTGATTTTATCTAATAATTCCTATAAAGATGTTTTATAGGCTTCCATTAATTTAACAGTATTATCAAAAATTTGTGATATCTCTTTACTTGAAATTTTCAAATAAGTTTTTATTTTCGTAGTTTTTTAGACTTTTATGCTTAGTAGTCTTATTATAGGTTTGTACTGAAATCTTATATAACACCAACTTTTCATATTTCTTTATGTTCATATAATATTATATTTTGTATAGATGCCTTGAGCTTCCAATATTACATGAGGTCCAACTTGGTATATTTAAAATTACAGATGTCCAAAACTTAACTGAATAACAAAAAACAGTTATTATAATACAAGTATAATTTTTAAAATTCATTATTTATAAGAATTGAATATTAAACCTGCCACTTAAGAGTTGACAACCTATCTACTTTACTAGATTACTATATCCTTAACTAATAATTAGTTGGTTTATAAGATAACAAATATATAAATATGTTTTAGTAAATTTCAAAGAAATATATTTACAATAGTGTAATTATATATATATAATTAATTATTATAAACATTAAAAATATACAACACTAGGGTGTGGCAACCTAGTGAAGTGGATAGGCTGTCAACCCTCAAGTGACAGGTCTAAGGTTCAATTCCTACAGATGACGAATTTTGGAAATTATACCTGTGTTATGGTAACTGTCTCTTGTCGATTAGTTGGGTTTTGGGCATCTGTAATCTTAGATACACCAAGTCAGGTCCTACCTGACATTGGGAGCTTAGGGCATCTATGCGAAGTGTAACATTACATGTTACATGTATATAAAGAAATATAAAACTGGTGTCATACAAGGCTTCGGGCAAACCCACAATAAGACCACTAGGCATAGAAGACTAAGAAACTGAAGAGATGGAAACTCACCTAGAAATCCCAGTAAAGAGGTAGTACAAACTTTCAATGATGCCATTGGACTGATGAAAACCCATAAAACATCTTTATAGGAACTGATTAGGTAAACCAGATGACAAAGATGTGTAGAGGAGCACATGACCAACCAGACTGCTGAAATTAACAGAGGAAAAGGATACATAAGTATACCATACTGGGCCATCTGGATTGGAAGTCTGGTAAATCAGTTAGTTCCAAGTTGCAGCTAGTAGGAGATAATGGAGAAGAAGTCAGAAAGATGGGTACCAGAGTTTGGGTGAATTTTACAAGGGTAATAGTGGTTTAAGGAGTAACCCTAACTACAAGTGTTGGCCTCGGCCATAGCATCAAACCAGGTTAGCAGTAAAAAGAAATACAGCTCACTCTGGTAGATTTACCTCGAGGATAAAAATAGTCTAAGGATTATAGTCCTATGGTCGAATGTGAATAGATCTGGGTCTGTGACCTGATGAAATTAATACTAGAGTTAGATCAGAGAGTTTAAATGAAACACCTAGGTAGAGATGTTAGGTATGATAACTGGTAGAGAACTCTTGAGTGGACTCCTTAAATAGGTAATATAGAAAAGTTATATGTGTAGCCAGTTGTATACTCATCTAATAGTTTATTATAGATATGTCTATATAAAACATATACCTGCTATAAGTATTAATAAAAACTCGGACCAAAGAGGTCATCTTAATACTGAAAAAAAAAAAAAAAATGTACAACACTGTATATATATATATATTTATTATTGTTTGGAGTAAAGTAACAAACTTATATTTTTATGTTTTTTAATAATTAAAAATTTAATTATAATTTACTTATATTACTAGAAACTAAAAATTAATGTAAGCCTAAAATATATATAAGTATCATATATTTTTAAAATAATTTTTTTGAATAATTTAAATAAAAAATAAAAATAAATTATTTTTATCTAATTAAATTTTTTAATTAATTAGTAATATATACTATATATAAAAGTTAAAATATTACTAAGTAAACTGATTATATGTCATTAAGTAAGATTGTTTAAAAGATCAAAATACATTTATTTTGAAATTTTTATACAATTACAATATATAATTTTTTATTATTTGATGTTTACTTTTACAATCACTAAATATAAATTTATAAAAAAATTTCAGAGTATATGTATTTGATCTCCTGATCAACTTTACTTAATAACATATATGTACGTAATCGATTTACTTAGTAAAATTTTGACTTTACTATATAAAAATGTGACGTCATAAGAAAATATCAACCCTATTTTTTGATATTTTTAATATAAATGTATCAAAGAGCGTAGATGTCAGACAAAAAATAGGTTTATTTTCCGGATGTAACGCCACAATTTTATAAAGTAAAGATTTTCAGAAGATCAAAATACATACATATATTCCTGACATTTTTATACAAATCGGATAATTTTTTACGTACTAATATGTTTTTGCATTTTGTTTTTAACAAATAAATTAAAATGTTTTATTAAGTGACTGTAATAAGTAAATATCAAATAATAAAAATTAACGTAATTGCATGAAAATTTTAGAATATATGTATTTCGATCTCCTGAACCAACTTTACTTAAAAGCATATAATCGATTTACTTAGCAAAATTTTGATATAAAAAATCAATATCTAAAAATAATTTATTTTATTTTTTTATTTGAATTATTCAAAAAAAAAACTTATTTAGAAATATATGATATTTATGCTCCAGACTTACACTGGTCTCCAGTTCCTAGTTTTAATCAAATCTCTAATGAATAAATTCAACTTGCTACATATTTAAAGAACCCATAAATGCAAACATTTTCCATTTGTAATTTAACAACAAAATCAGTAATATGCGTAATTACATTTCATTAGACAAATCTTAGACAGAACTATCGATAAAAATTACTTTAAATGACAACATTCATTTTATATTCATGAGTTTGTATAATTTTATTTAGAAAATAAACTAAAATGAAATGTTTTGCTGTGATAAAAAAACAAAGGTAATTATATTCCCCTCCCTTAAAAGGAAATATTTCAAGTTTGAATACTGATCATAAATGTAGATAACCCTTTTAAAATGATTAAGTTGTGATTATTAACAATTATCCTTTGTGAATAAATTAAAATTTAACCTTTGTTAAGTGGTAGTTCCGCTTCCTCCACCACCACGACGTTGACGCCTAGAACTGCGGCCACGACGCGAAAGTGATGGCGAAAGTGGAGTACCGACACTATCTTCTGGTGCACCTCCATGTCCAGGTCGAGGCCGACGTCGTTCTGTTTGTGGTGGTGGTGATGGTGACTCGGATGATCTTGAGACACTTGGGTTTGGATGTTCGCCAGTACCTGTGTCACTAAATGGAGATACACTCCTACCTCGACTACGTGACCTCTCTGATCTGTCTGGCCTAGTAGTATATTCGAGATATGGATCACCTAAATTAGCTTGTAAACTTTCATGAAGTATATCAGGTTCCATATGAGTTGTTCTTTCTGGAAACTCTTGCGAGGGCTGAGTCATGTACTCTGACGATTGTCGTGACTGTGGACGAACATCTCCAGAGGTTCTCGGTGAACGAACTGGTGATGTATAATCATACCTCAAAGGTGATGGCATTTCTTGTAAATAATCAGCGGAAGGATGATGCGTTGTCATAGATGGACTTTCTCCTAATTGTTCCGAATCGATCCTGAGAACGCGGTGTTGTTCACTTCCTAATGGTGGTCCTGGTGAATCGTTATACAAGGTGGCCTCTGTGAAAGGGTAATTGTCAGATTCTTTCTCCTTATCCTTCATATGTGCAAGATCTATTGATGATCTAGACCTACTAATAATACCAGATTTATGAGCCTTCGGTGGAACATTGAAAGAATCAGGTGAAATATCAAATAGCTGTGAATTTAACTGAGGAAAATGTTGGGAGGATTGGGGAGTAGCGCTTCCAGTTGACGGAGGAGTGGAAGGTTTTACTTTTTTATCTGTTTCTGCTTTCGGCATCGGGGGTGAGACCATGGGTAATGATTCCTTTGACTCTTTTAACATCGCTATGTCAGAGTCTGAAAACGAAATCCGCCGCCCAAAGTAGCCACTCTCTACTTTACTAGATTCAAGAGTTTCATCCTTTTTCATTCGTTGGTGAGCAACAAAGAACAAAGCAGCAGCCGTAATTACAAGGGCTATGGATGCAGTGCATAGCACAGTAAAGACAATTGCTGTCATAGGAGGAGCCGAATTAGACGCCGCCCCTCCATTGGATGTATCCATTTCAAGACCACTCATACTGTTTGTTGGTAATTATTCTTTTTTGCGGTTACGGTTGGGACCGAAGATATCTGATACTCTCATGAGGTTTAAAGAACTGAAACTTTCGTGCCGGAACAAACAATGATAGTTATTGAAGCCTTATAATAAAAAGAATCTCCTTTGACTGCATAATTACAATCATCATATTTTTTTTTTTTATCAAAAGGTTTTTATTATTAATTTTAAAAACCCGCAACTGGCGACTCCACGTAAAAACAAGTACGTACATACATATTGTGGCTATGAAACTATTTGCGCCTGAATCTTCTAATGCTTACCAAAATTAGCTAATTAGTTCATCATTTACTCACATTATGAAAAAAGAAATTTCATTCAAACAACAATGAAATAACTAAACCAGGCCACATAATGATCTTTTAAAAAACACCGCTCAGTATGGCAAGAATGTTTATTATTATATACAAGTCTATATAGTTACTACAGCGGGCTTCACTCAAGTGAAAAAATGTGAGGGCATAAATAATAAGAACCGCTAAATGCATATATACTAGAACTCTAAAACAAAACCTTTTCTCTTTTTTCATGAATTGGGGGTTTTTTATCGTAAAATTTAAAGAAACATGCATTATTGCGAAATTATTTTGGAATTTCTTTTTTATAAAATGAATGAATAATCACGAATCAAAGTGGTTACTCTTGTTAATATAATAAGATTCCCTCGGTATAAACATATGTGTGATTGATACATTACAATAGAGTTAATAATGAAAAAAGATTTATCGATAATACTGATTGATAGAAAATATCTAATGATATTAAAAACGAGTCCGTATAGTTTCGGCCTGAATACACTGAATGGAAGCATATTCTCCGACCTGTTAATAATTCTTACATTTTATGAAAACTTGCTGTATTAATCCTCACTCTAAAAATAAACTCAATATTTATCAGCATAAAAAAATTTTTATCTGTTCTCTCAAGTCATTTTTTTTATAATTAAGATATATCTTGAGGCTGATTAATGTATTAATTTATTCGTTTGTAAAGGCCCGAGCAAAATAAGGACTTTCAATGATGAAACCTGTTAATTAAAAGTTCATGCCAAGAACACAGCCATTATTTAAGCACAGCCTCGTTTAATTATTGTTAATTGTGGCTTAGAGTTTAGACACATGAAATAGTGATACTAAATTGAACTCCAGTAAATACTATGTACGTATATTAATAATTAGTGTTAACATTAGAGAAAAAAATATATACTGATACCAGATACATATTGACCTGCAAAAAAATTGTATCCCTGAAATTTTGACCAGTAAACTCTAAAGATCAGGTGCAACTTAAAACTCGAAACAAAACCAGCTAAAAGTGTTTCTTGTGCTATTTTACTATATAGTAGACTCTAATCATAATCCTAACTATGTATAATGCTTTATTGGCTTTAATTTTGTACGATACTTTAACGTTAGGCCAGCTCTCCCACAAAAAATCCCCCTCTCGTGATTTTTATCCAATTAGATTGAAAGATCAGGTGGCGTTGTTAGGTCACAAACTTATATTTTCGGTTTCATATCACCAATTGGCCTCTCGTGACCGGTCGACCCGGATTTTAATTAGTCGCACCTTCCGAAGACAAATAAATTTATTCTTTGCAGTAGAAAAGAACCAAACTACCCCTAATAAGATTTTGGTAAATTTCGGTGCGAAAATCGATGGCATTAAAAAATTTTCGGATACTTGATCAACTTGATTATATCAAAATCATATTTCTTGGACTTTTCTACTACAGTGACCCCTCATATTTTATGCTATTTTTTAATTATATTTTGGTTTATCTAATTATAGTGATCTGATTTAGTGTTTTATTGATGATTTTGGTAGTTGTGCCATGAGGATTAAGTGTAACAATTATATATAAATTTGGTTTCTTTTTTGAAATAAAATCAAGTGTAGTATTATAAGTTCTGATTAAATAATCATTATCATTGATTGAAGTCGAGTATATATGCGATTACGCATTATACAGTATCTTGTAATTAGCATTTAAGCGGTACTCTTTATGATAGATCAATACGAAAAAATAATTATAATTAAGAAATCAACGATTCAACTTTGGTTGATGCGTGTGGAGTATTTCTATCGGTTTATATATTAAAAAATAAAAATTTTGGATCTCCACTCTGCCTGGATATGAAAACCGAAAATCCAAGTTTGTATGGCCTTAGTACTTATAACAAGGTTCGCGTTGTATAGGATGCAGTTGCAGCGAGTTACTTGTTATATGATAGATAAAAGAATTATAATTTTATTGATATTAATAGGTTATACATAGTAACAATTGGAATTATACTTAATTTTTATATTTGAATTTACTTAATTTGAATTCGAATTAATTCAAATGATCCATATTATAATATAGGCAGTATTATTACTTATAATGCATCATATTTTATAAAATAAATTAAAAAGCTTATTAATAATATTAAATTTAATGACTGTTATTTTAAACTATACTTTTAGAATTATATATATATACTATAATATAATTTTTTTTATTTTTGGCAGTCTTGTCAATCATCTTTGTTAAGATTTTGTATACATATTTGTACAAAGTTGACTTAAATTCTGGTTTGACATCTTTATATTATTTCTATAAGTGCTTAGAAGCAGTCTGTTACATTGGTCAGAAATTAATCTGGTTAGAAGGTTATACCAAGCTAGTCATTAAAGTCATAAAAAAATAACCTTATTTTCTTTTTAATAAAATCAATAACCAAACTTAATCATAATTCTTGTACTTTCTTTTCATTCTCTTTCTTCTTTTTTTTTATAAATTGATTTTGGTTATTTATTATATTATCTTATATACATATTTGTTAGTTATATTGTTATTTGATATATTTTTATTTTGTTTTTTATTTACAAAATTAATTATATTTGTCTTTTTTCAGTTAGTTATTACTTTACAATGTTTTTTCTATATTTTTTCAAAAAAATCATTTTATATTACATTTATTCAAATAATTATAAACTTTTTAATTTCTTTGAAAATTTGAATAGGATTATGTAATATTAGGTTAGTTTTTTTTTAAATTAACTTCTTAATATTTTTAATCTATATTTAGTTTTTTCTTCTATTAAATCTTCTTATAAGATTTTGTTAGTTTTAATTTGCTTATCTTCTTACAGATTTCTTCTAAAAACACTGTCTAAGTCAAATTAATAATTAAATTTTCTATATTAGTTTATCTTTTTTTATAAATTTTATATATTATTAAATGTCCTTGTTATTCTTCTTATTTTTATTA